TTTTACCCCTATCATATCCCCCCCCCCCCCGAAAGGAGCTATGCGTTGGTTCTTGCACGCAGGGGGTCCGACGCATGGCTTCTTACCTCCGGTGGGCTGGTTACGCAGATCGAGGCGTACGACACAGGCGGGATAGCCGCGCGAACGCGTCCCGTACGACATGGGGCCGAGGTGCGCCACTCAGTCAGGAAACCGAACAGAGATCGGGATCTCGGATAGCGTGCGACCGAGGAGCACGACGCAGGCGGGCTGACCGCGCAGGCGTGTCCTGGGTGGCATAAAACCGAAAAGCCGAGGAGCACGACGCAGGCGGGCTGACCGCGTAGGCGTGTCCTGGGTGGCGTAAAGCCGAAGAGCCGAGGAGCATGACGCAGGCGGGCTGACCGCGCAGGCGTGTCCTGGGTGGCGTAAAGCCGAAGAGATACTTGGCACTTGGCCAGCGATTGGTCGTTCGACCGTGCGTGGGCGCGGGCGGCCAGGTTGCTTTTTTCCTGGGGAAGATCAAAGGGCCGCCCCTTTTGGGAGTCGCCGGTTTTCGAGGCTGACATGATTAGCGGCTCCGTACTTTGCACCGCACTACGATTAAACGCCGCGTCAGGCCATAGTTATGGCGGTGTGACGTTTGCGTCTTCGTAGCGCACCTCAGGGGAGGAAAGGTCGCTGTTTTGGCGGGAAGTAGGCTATAAATAGCGCGTCGCTTGCTTCCCTCACGCTCTGGCACCTACAATCTCTCGACCCCTTCTTTGGGCGACCTAACCTCGCACCCATCAGCCGCCCCACCTTCTTTTCCAAAGCTCGGTAAGGATGGCTTCTCCTTCTCTGTCCTCTCCTTCTTCGCCTCCTGTTTCTGGTGACGTCGGCGAGGGGGCAGTGCTGGCGAGCTCCCGCTCGTCGTCCGAGGAAAGGGCCACCAAAGCCCTCGAATCGCTGATGTGGTCGCACGACCTCGACTCCACCGTGAGCGAGTCGTCGCTCGGCTCCCTTCGGGATTGTTACGGTATCCCGGCGGAATTCACGCTTATTGCCCCTGAGCCGGGGCAGCGGGCGTATGATCCCATACCCCGGGGCTTCGCCCTAACCGTGGATGCCTTCGAGGCCGGGCTGCGCCTTCCGTTCCATCCAGTCATAACTTCCTGCGTCTCATGGTGGCGCATCTCTCCTTCTCAGATGGCGCCAAATTCCTGGCGCTATTTGGTGGCATTCCTAGGGGAATGCTACTATGCCGAAATTCCCCCGAGCCGGTCTCTTTTCCTTTCTTGCTTTCGCCTATCCAGGGGGTCGGGGGGTTATTACTTGTCCGCCCGACCGGGTTTCCAGGTCAGTGGGGCTCCTTCCAGCAACAAGGGGTGGAAGGAGCGTTTCTTCTACGTATGTCATCCGGAGAGTTGGGATTTTGGGCTCCGGTGGGCGGCGCACGCCGTCGATAATACCGCCCCGGCCTTGGACGAAGGGGAGCTCTGGGCCATTCGAAGATTGAAGGAGATCCTCCCGTCCTCCAGAGTCATCCGGAAGATGACCGAGGCGTGGTTGGTCGAGGCGGGTTTGAGCCCGGTACCTCGAGGTATGCCTTAAAAGGAGGTGGCGGCAGGCCTTCCTGTCTTATTTTTCTTCTTTGGAATACTAATCAAGCTCGATATGTACGTGTAGAAATGGTGAACCTTGCTGCGGTGCGCGGAGGACGTGCTCCGTCGGCTGCATCTCCGCGGCGCCCAATCGACTAGGGCATTGGCACAAGGGAGGCGCCAGTGTTGCTCGAGGGCGGCTGTCCTCGAAAGAAAGCTAAGGCTGCCGCTCCGAAAATACCGTCTCCTCCGAAGGCTTAGGAATGCGAAGGGGCGGCGGAGTCGAGCTCGCGTGATCGACGAGGAGGGCGAGGTCGGGGCGAGGCCGGCCCGAGCAATGAGAGGGCGGGGAAGGCGCCCAAGGAGCCCTCGATCCGGGATTTGTGTCGTCTGCCCGCGGGGCCGCCGAACGACTCCTACTAGGCGCTCCTGATGGGCGAGCTCTCGGAGGGCGAGCCCTCCGACCGGTTGGTGGCCCGTTGGGGGGGTTGACCCGCGGGACTCGGGTGTGGGCTGATGGGGAGACTGCAGCCGCGTTCATCCGAGGTGGGCTTCACCCGGATATGGCTCGCGAGCTTTACACCATGCCCTCGGATGTCCTGCTCGGTAAATCCATGAAATCATTGTTGTGGGTAAGCGTCCCGCTGTTGGTTCCCGACCTACGATTTGTCCGAAGGTGGTCCTGACCTTCCTTCTGTAGGGCCAGCACTACGCGATGGCGTTGGCGGATCGCGTACGTGACGCGGGTCGGGCCCTGGGCATCTTGTGCGACCGAAATGCCGAGCTGCGCGGGCAGCTCGAGGAGGTTCGTGCGGGGGCGGCTCCGGAGGCGGTTGAGACGGCCGAGCAGCGCTCTTCGGAGCTGGAAGCAGAGGTGGTGCACCTCCGGACTGAGGCAGGGGCGACCGACCAACGCATGTCGGTGCTGGAGGCTGAGGTCCTTCGCTTGAAGCCCGAGGCGAAGGCGGTTGAGGAGGACAAAAAGGGCTCCTGAGGGGGGCGCAGACCGAGGCTCACCTGGTCCGAGGCGAGGTGGCCACCCTGACCCAGAGATTGGAGGGGGCCCTGGCTGAGGCGAAGGGGGCCTCGGAAGCTCTGATGGCCGAGCGAGAGCAGCGGCCAGAAAAAGACAAAGAAATGATTGAAGCCTATAAGCAATCCTCAGGCTTCCAGCTCGGGCTGGTTCGGTCAGGGCAGGTCACCTACGAGTACGGGTACCGGATTGCCCTGGGCCGGTTCCAGACGCGCCATCCCGGGTTGGAAGTTGAGGTGGATCCATTTGCCTCGCACCCCGAGGATTTAGATGTAAACATGTCGGATGAAGTTCCTTTCGACGATAGCGCCGGGGGTTCCGACGGTTAGGATAGAGTTTTGAGGTCGGCTCGGCTGAGCTGGGTTGAGTCCTGTAATCTCTTTTGTAATCCTCGGGTCTGTCGTAGTTGAGTCTTGTAATTCCATGTTTCTAAAATAAGGAAGACTTTTTTCTCTAGTATGTCGTTCAGCTTCCAAAAGTGCAAAGCTCCCTATTCGGAAGAGACCCTTTTTTAGTCGAACAATTCCCCTTAGGCAAAGTCTTCTTCAGACAAAAAACCTTT